AATAAACATGTCGGCGAATTAATTGTCGGTGAAACGAGGTGTCTGTGAAGTGATTGTCGGTGAAATAATACGTATCCAAATAAGGACATGTGACTGGAGTATAAAGTCAGCCAATATAGCTAATGCCGAAGATGCAAGCTCCACTAGTTGTAGATATGAGAATGCTGATGCAGCAAATAGGCCTGAAAGCCGTGCAGAAGATGATGAATATAAGGTATTCATGAACTATCAAAAATCTGCCATTGTAAATGATGCTAATAAAATGATTGAAGTTGAACATTATTATCAAGGAGAACCAATAGTAGAGATGAAAGCATCGTTGGACCAAGTGATGAAAATGGATGTAATGATGATAAATCTATTAGAATCATTGACGAAAGATGAAGGTGTCATTAAGAGTGTGAATGATGATGAGAATGAGGTGATTAAAGATGAAAAACTTTATTATATGCCCAAAGAGAATAGTAGAATCGAAGATGTTAATAAGACGTCCATGAAGATAAATCAAAAGAAGATTTTAAAGCGAAAATAGGAGTAGAAAAAGATATAATGACAACTAGTAGTGATGGAGAAATAGATGATAAAATAAGAGTAGTTAGTAGAATAAACATTGATGAAACTGGTCAAACCAATGTTGATTGAACACACCAAATGAACTGTGAAATTGGAAAAAACAAGGGAATTGATGTTGAAATGAATAAATGTAAAGCATTCATTTCTTGTCAAAAATCTGCAAATATTAATGATGCTGATAAAGCATCTAAAATTGGACATTGTTATTATCACAAAGTTGGAATTGAAAAGGATGAACATAAGACGTTCATTGATTATCAAAAATTGGCTGATATAGGTAATGCTAACACTATGTATAATCATAGTAGTTGTTATGAAAATGGAATTGATGACGAAATTGGTGTTGAAAAGGATGATAACAAGGCACCTAAACGGCATTTGAAATTAGTTAAAGGTGATAATGCCAATGGGGCATTTGATGTTCGAAGTTGTTATCGAAATGAAATAGGAAATGAAAAAGATGAATGTATAGCATTCATTAACCACCAAAGATCTACTGAGGATGAACATAAAGAGTCTAATGCTATTTAAAATGCATTGAAAGTAACAATTCGAAGAGAGAAAATAATAGCATGATGATGAGTAAGTTGGTAAAAATAAATGGACAATCGGTAAAAGCAACGATTAGAACGAGTTCATGTTCAAATCTAATAAGCATGAAATATGCTAAGGAAAAAGAACTTAACTGGAAACGTATAAAGAAGCAAATCAGTGATGAAGTTGTTGGAAAAGTTTCTGTATTGAAGTTGACATTAATGGTGTAAAAGTGATTCAAGAATTTTGTGTGAAGTATGAATTAGCTTCTGATATAGTTCTTGGAATGCCATGGGTCATGAAAACAAGGTGTAGTTTTGAGTGGAAGGACAGAAAATGTTGTTGTATGATCCAATCTGAATATAATAAGACGACATTTGTAATTTCTGAAGAACCAATTATTGATGAAGATAAAGAGAAATGCAACGATAGAAAAGATGATAGCGCTGCAAACATAAGGTGTGTAGTGCATGTGTTGGAAGATAAAGAGGCTGAGTTTAATGAAAGAAGGGGTGAAGCTGCAGATAGTAGAATGGACGAAAGTAAAATTGAAATGAAAATGATAAACAAAATGCATTTATTCAATGTCAAAGCCTTGAGAAAATGAGTTGTGGTAGTAAAACATGTGATCAGAAGTATGATTATAAGAATAAATGATGCATTGGGTTAGGAGGTGAGTCTGTGAATCAGCCAAGCACAATGCGAACATTTAATGGTATATTAAAAGCCAGAGATTATGTGGACAATCTGATAAGGTTATACAATTTGAGATACCAAAGAACCAATAATGTGCATTTAAAGTTTGGGAGTTCAACATTATGAAGTGCATGTATTCGGAAACAGTATAAAAGCATAAAAGCTGGAGTGTGGAGTACTCCGAATTTTTATGGTGATAGAGAGTATAAGAAAGGTAATAGTCAGAGTAAGAGGAATGTTGCATATGGTGGCAGAGTGAAAGATCCAGTAATGCGAAACAGGGTAAAGAAATTGTTTACCTGGAAAGAAGAATCATCGAAGCAAAGAGGAAATGAAATGGTCGAAGATGACCTGGCCCTTGAGGATGAGGACCAATGGGGGTCCAGCTCATGTCGCATAGTTTACGAAGAGCCCTTATACCTAGAAAAAGGTATACAAATAAATAATGAGTTGCATAGTAGATGGGTAGAACGAAAGTGTTAACTGAATGACTCACATGATCATGTGATCGATCGGAGTCGTAGAAGGAATTAAGATGCGAGGTGGCACATGTAAGATCGGGTACTATAGGTACCATGATCGATATGCACATAAATATGATGATCAATTGAAGAACAATAAAAAAGGTTAATTAATTATACAAAAAAATAGTTAAACTGTAATAAGTATGTAATTGATTGAATCGCTTAAATAGCGAAATATAAATAAAGAATTCAACAGTCTTTTAACTGGAATAATTAAGCAATAAACAAATAGTTAAAGTAAATACCTGTGTGCGAAATAGTGTGCTGTGTGCCGAAGTTTAAAAAGGTGTGTCTCTAGTGCCAAGCGAGACCATAATATTAATAAACTGTCTGGGTAGATAGCAGTCACTATAGTGATTGCCTAACTCTTTGACAGTAATTGCATTATTTTATGTGATGTGATGATCACTAGATTTCTATGTAGTTCTTCAAGTGTCCCAATGTATCAATATATATTGAGATTTACTATATAGAGTTTTCATTTCGTTAAAACCTGATAAAATCATGTTTTTTTCTTACATAATGTATAGCCTATACACCTTTTTTCCACTTTGTTGGTTGGTTCAAAACTTTCACCGGTAGTTAATAACCTCCTTGGTCAAACCATCTATGTTGGTTCTCAACCAACTCTGACGGTTCAAAACCATCAAGTAAATCTGATTATGGATATCCCACAGCCGATGTGGCTTACCGATTCTGTAATACAAAGAAATTAAAGTAATATACAAAAAAAAAAACTTTTTTCTAATAAATTTCGTATTAGGCACAATAACGTAAACTATACATTTAATTTCTTTAAGTTCCTAATTATATTGTTATTAGTTAACATTACATCAAATACTTTTATTTAATCAAAATTTTGAAATTTTTCAGGACGGCAGAAAAAATTATAAGATTCGTTAAATATGAATTCATAATAATAAAATTGAAAATAACTATTTGTACATAGTAATTTGAGTAACATGTAAATCAAAATTAATTTTAACTAATTTACTAATTTTGCAAGGAGTTTTTTTTTCTTAGTCTCTAAAAGGTAGTTACATAAGCAAAATTTTGAGATATATTGCATTTTATATTATATTTTGTCAAACAAATATTTATAATAAATTTGATTTTTCGTATCTGTGTTATTAATACTATGAGTACACCACATAATCAAAATATTTTTTGAAAAGTTGATCAGCCCAAAACTATAAATTTTGGGGATATTTGGTTTTATCATTAATTTATCAAAAAAATATGGAAAAATCGAATATCAGTTTACCTACTGCGTGGGATGTTAATAATAAATCATTAAATTTGAATGTAAATTCGGATGGACTTCAAGTAAGCTATACAGGTGAGATAGTCAACTACTTCTGTACGGCACTGTATATAGTACCACCTTGAAGAAGTTATCCTCTTTAAATAGTATCGGTAACATTTTTGAAAGTAACCCGGTATTAATCAAGTAGCGAATCAATGATTCTAGATTTCTTAAAAAAGACTGGGATATTATATGTAGCATTGTACGATATTTTGTAGTACATTTTTATCGATGTGAAATTAAGACAACCCACTTTTAAGTTGTTAAAATTTATGAAGATTGAGTCAGAGGATTAATATAAAACAAAAAATGGAACTACAGTATACTCTGTCAAAACCAGTATGTATGGTAGATAAATTTTTCATCAGCTTTAAAAGATTATCAAGTTTAAGAGGTTAAAATTACTACTGTATATTAGAAACAAGCACAGTGGATCAATTTTTCATCGATTTTGACAGGGTTTGACAGGTTATACTGTAGCTCTTGTTATCAAAATGTTTAATATTTATTGAATCTTAACTATTAACGTTTGACCTGAGGTTAAAATTACTACTGTATATTAGAAACAAGCACAGTGGATCAATTTTTCATCGATTTTGACAGGGTTTGACAGGTTATACTGTAGCTCTTGTTATCAAAATGTTTAATATTTATTGAATCTTAACTATTAACATTTGACCTAATGTATACATTTAAGGACCATTTAACTTGTTATTTATTATATATCATTCGAATCAAAAGGTACAGTAGCCAACAAAAGTAATGCCTGATTTGTAGATCATCTCATGTGAGCAAATAAGGGGCTGTGTTTACCCCATACATATGTAATTTGGGCAATTTTATTTTATTTTTTGCTTCTTTCACATCAGAACAAGAGGCCCAAAGACTCAAATAATTTTTTTTTAAATAAAAATGCCGTGCAAACAAATGAATGAAAAAGAGAAAGGAATGGTCCTTGCTTATATCAGTACAATGAGTGCTGAGCAAGTTTCCAAAAAGCTAAAACATGCCCCAACAACAATTTGAAGGTTCTTAGCGAAGTACAAGAGGTCCATGAAAATAGCAAATTTACCTTGGTCTGGACGTCCCCCACCCTAAAGAAGCAAGAAAAGATCGCCATAGTAAAAAAAGCTTTGAAGGAAAGATGTGTCCCCTGCTCAAAATTGTGAAGGATTTAAACCTTCAATGCAGTGTGCAGACCATAGCTAGGACCTACATGATGCTGGGCTTCGTTCCCATGTTGCTGCTTTGAAATCTTTCTTGTCACCAAGTAATATAGATAGACGAAAAGATTGATATAACCAATATAAAGTTAAGGATACTTATTTTTGGTGGCATATCATTTTTTCTGATGAAATAAGTGTGGAAGTTAGTAAACAATCCTGCCAAGTTCGAGTATGGCAGTGTGTGGATGAACAGTACAAATACGAGTGTTTGTAACTGAATTTTAAGAGTGGGAGGGTCTCAGTAATAGTTTGGTTATGTTATGTGGATATGATTAAAGGACCCATGGTTTTTTTTGATGATTACAAAGGCCCCAAGGAAAATAATTTATACCAAGTTTTTAGACAACCACCTTGTACCGTTTATAGCCGCTGCTTATTCATTACTCAACTCCCATCCAATTTTTTAGCATGATAATGCCCTGTACACAAGGTGTCAAATTGGTTAAAATCAAAAAAAATAGATTATATGAATTAGCCTTCACGATCCCCTGACCTAAACCCCATAGAAAATATTTGGAGGATTGTGAAGGACAATATTCAGAACCGTGATGACTACCCCTGTGATAAACCTGCGCTTAAGGTGGCCCTAATGGAGGCATGGTCGAATTTGAATATGTCAGTTCTTCATGTAGTTTCAGACTCAATGACACAAAGAACCGAGGCTATTGCAGATGCTGATGGTCATTCATCAAAATATTAAATAAAAGATAAAAAAATATTATGTATGTGCGGTAAAATTTTTATTAATAAAAAATTTCCATTTTGAGTAAAAATCGGGTGTTACTTTTGTTGGCTACTGTACCAATGATTACAAGGTCGCCGCTATAATTCGGGCAAATAATCCAGTTCCTCCACATCTCGGGCTATTTTACAATTCTAGATAAAGGAAATAATAGGTAAAATTAATAATCAAAAGTTTTGTCATTAAAATCGCTTTATGATTTACTACAACTTCTATAATTTTATCTTTTGTAAAGAATGATTGAAGTCGGATTTTGTACAAAGCAAATTATTCTGAATTCAAATATGATGTCCATGTCTAGTAATATTAACTCTTAATTTAATCTTTGGTTGCTATTACTACTTTAGCTTGTCTTAGCATTTTCATAAAATCCTTAGGTCAAAAGAATAATTTATGGAGCTATCATGGTGATGAAGGATCTTGTTATTCTGGAGGAAGTGGCAGGCCGTATGGACCATTATATGCTACTGACGATACTGTTGGATGTTATTTTAACTTTAAAACTAAGATAGTATTTTATACTAAGAATGGTGTGAATCTTGGTAATTATCAATTTAAGGATTAAACTTTAATAAGTGTAAATTATTAATAAAATGGTTTTAATATTTTAAACGTATTTCAAGGAATTGCATGTTTCCTACCTGATGGTTTCAAAGATATTTTGTATCCTTGTATTAGAGTAAGGTCACAAGGAGCGTATATGGAAGTAAATTTTGGTCATAAACAATTCGAATATTCAGGTAATTATCACAGAATAATGCATTAATATTAAGTTTTGATATACTATATTTATTTCTATATACTGCTTCTATTAAAATAGTAATGACACATGATATTCCCAGAGGCCCATTCAAAAAGACTACAAATCCACTTTCATTAAAATATCAAGGAGAAGTTTATTTTATTATGGGAATGCACAAGCAAACACTTGTTGATTTAACTGATGAAATAACTACTACATTGAGATATCAAGCAAATAATCTATCAACATATCAACAATTTGATTTAAGCGTGTATCGAGAAAAAGCTTACTTTATTATGGGAAAATACAAAGAAGCACTATTAGATTTAATTAACTCATAAAATATTAAAAGCAGAAGTACAACAGTGTATAGATATAAATGTGAAATTTATTACTTGATGAAGAAATATGAAGATTTTTTTAAAAACTTAAAATTATTGCTTGCATATGTTAAATTTAACATGCATAGGGAATGGGCAGACAAAGCTATTAAATCAGTTCATGAAATGTATGTATTATTTATAAAATCAAACCAATAATTCATAAGGTAAGTGTGGGTATTATGGCTAATGTGGGAAAATGGCGAATTGAACATATTACAAGGAAACAGGATTTTTTTATTAAGTAAATCGAATTTCTTTCACTAGGCAAAGTTGTTTAAAATTTCATGAGACTTTTTTTGTTACACGCCTTGGGTGCGGAAATTAATTTTCTTCAAAACGTACAACGAAAAAAAGCCTTTAATGAAAAGCCATCTGTATTGCGCCAAAATTTGAGGGCAGCTAAAAGATGGCATTTTGAACAACTTTACCTAGTGAAAGAAATTCTATACTTGATAAAAAAAATCTCATTTTAAGTGAAACCGATTTTTAATTAACGCCAGAAGTGATAAAAGAGAACGATAAAAAGATCGTCGATTTACACTTCACTCACAAAATTAACATTGCAAGGATAAAGCACAAAATTTTTAATATCACAATTGTAAAACAAGTTAAATTTAAAAAAAAAAATTACCAAAAAAAAAAAACAGGTTTTCTCGGATTTTTATTGTTAAGTGTTAACTAGCCATAATAACCACACTCATTTTATACTTGAAATTCTAAACTATATGGGACCCCCCACAGCAAAAAGAGGGGATGGGCCAAAAAATTTTTTTTTAAAAAAATTCAATATCTTGAAGAATCAAATTGATTAGAATAAAATTATCATAAGAACAAATTTTCAAATTTTTTTGCCCATCCCCTTCTTTTGCTGTGGGGGGTCCCATATATAATTATTCACTCATTGTTAGAATGTGAGTTTGAAATTACTTCTTTTTTTTTTTGAATTGCGTTTTCAAATCAAATTCTACTAATTTTACAACTGTAAAATAAGCAATATAAACAATTGCATAATTAAAGAGTGAGTATTTAGGTTAATAACCATAAAATTTCTCTCATTGATTCAAACAAGTACAATAATATAATATAAAATCGCATATTAGAGAGTGAGTATTGTTTTTTAAAATCGAAATTCATATAAAATATGTGATCTCGACATATGCATACATATCATATATTTAGAAAGTGAGTATTCAGAATAATGCAATAATAATTAAATTTAAGTTTATTAAATTTCTCAATATTTAAAATAAAATAATTAGTCAGTAAGTATTCATAAACAAAATCATAATAATTATGAGGCCAGACTAATTCGATTCG